CATCGAGCTTATTTTACTTAATATTTCTTCAAGGTTCATCCATATCAGCCTTAGGTATTTTGAAGCTTTGTTATCAGGCACATACACATTTAGAATTCTGATATCATAATTAAATAACTCCTTTATCATTGTACTTGTCCTAGCTCTATGTTTTTCATATAAAGTGTTTTGATTTTTTGGGGGGGTAATCAACATATATTCAGGTCATATTTTTTAATTTGACTTTTATTTAGTTTTTCAGTATTAGGGACTGAACCTAGGGTCACTGCACTGAGCTATTTTTAATTTGACTTTTATTTAGTTTTTCAGTATTAGGGATTGAACCTAGGACCATTGCACTGAGCTACATTTTACCTTGAGACAGGGTTTTACTGAGTTGCCTAATTGCCCAGGCTGGGTTCAAAGTTGTGATTCTCCTGCTCAGGTTGCCGGAGTGCTGGGATTACAAGAATATACCACAATACCTGGCCAATCCTTGTGTTTCGATTGTCATATTCAAACCACTTACATTTATTAAAATATGGTCACTCTTAAGTCTATCACATTGATATTTCTGTTACATCACTTTTTGTTTCCCCTATCTTTTGACTACTCAAATATATTTTATGATTCAATTTCCTTTTTATGCTTATTAGCTATACATCTTCTTTATACTAGTTGCCTTCAGATTCAAACTATATATACTTAACAATCTACCTTGAGTGATATCACACCATACATTTCATGTGAAAAGCTTATCATATATACCTTTTTCTGTCCTCATGGCTTTTATGCTGCTGTTGCCAAGCACTGTACTTTTCATTGTTATAAACACTACTAGAAATTACCGAGGGCTGGGGATATAGCTCAGTAACACAATGCCTACCTGGGTCATGATTCCATTCCCAGTACAAAAAGAAGAAAAAAAGATACTACTATGACTTTTGTTCAAAATAAGAGTGGGCAAAGTGAAATGAAACACAGATATTTATTGTTTTATAGATAACCTATGGTTAATCCTAAAATAGCAGAGATCAGCAGTTGCCAGAGAGGTTGAATTGTCTACAATACTGAAAATATTTACTGTGCGGTACACATTGTAAGAGGGTCTGGGAGTGGCACAGTGCATGTGTGGCAAGTACAAGGTCCTGAATTTGATTCCTGATACCACCCCCTGCCTTCAAATAGAGACTGTTATATCTTGCAAATATTTATACCATGATGCTGGTCTGTACTTCCTCATCCATTCTTTACCCAAAGAATATGCCAATTTTAGGAGTAATTCTAAAGCCTAAAGGAAGGAAATAGCACAGCCTGAGGGAACGAGAGAACATAGCAGAGGTCAGAGTTCTTACATACTTCCCTCCCACCTGGAAGAGTAAACCCAGCGTGAGATAAAACTGTGGCTGGAGTCTCAAGAAAGAGTTGACCTGCATGTAAAGCAAGGAAGAACCAGAAACACCATAACCTGCAGTTCCTTTCCACCATCATCTATTGTTTCTCTGAGCAACGCAAAACTGTGAGACAAGGAAAAATCCTACCTACTGTGCACTATCCTGCCAGAGGCAAAGGAGGCCCACTGCTGAGCCCGGGTGCTGCAGCAGGTTCCCAGGTTGGAAAGCTAAGCTCTTGAGTCAGGTATGGTCAACATTCTAAGCACAAACAAACCAAAGGACTGCTGGTGACACTGTGCAGAAAGTCACGAGAGGGACAACATGGAGACTACTATGAAATTTACACAGTAGTGAAGGGACCAGGAATGGGAGGTTACTGGCTGAAGCTGACAGGAAATTGGGTATAAGGCAAATTAGTTTTTCTTCCTAAAGAACTGGATCTTGGGACAGAGACAAAGACCTACAGTTGGCCATACCCAAAGCACACCTTTAAGCCAGGAGGTCAGTCTAGAGAGACCAACAGCCCTAACCACTCCCTGGCAGCAGGTAAGCAGCCCTCAAGTGGGGGGAGAAACAAGTAGGGGAGAAACTGGCTAGGCTGTCTGTAAGGAATCTACTACAGTATTACTGTGGGAAGGAGACTGGGTAGAACTAGCCATATGGCTATGTGGGGCTTTTGTTTGTTTCCTTGCTTACTTGTCCATTCTGGGCTCTCTCATTTTTTGTTCTTCTCTTTTCCCCAGTTCTTGTTTTTTTAATCCATGGTATGTTTTTTAACTTTTTTTGTCGGTTTTTATTTTGCTCCCCAGCTGTTTTCTCTCTCTTTTTTTTTTTGGTGGAACCAGGGATTGAACTCAGGCCCTTGCGCTTGCCAGGCAAGCACTTATTCTACTGAGCTATCTCCCTGGCCCCCTATTTTTTCTCTTTTTAACTTTCTTTCCTCCCTATTTTTTCTTTCCTCTTCCTTATTTTCTCTATACCCCTATCTTGCCTTTCTTTTTCTCCACTTTCCACTTTTATACAACATGTAAGAATAGACCAGTGCTTTAACTTGAATGGTAGAGTTTATGGCCATTTCAGGATACTCTCAATAAAGTATGCTTACAGGAGCCAAACAAAACTAACTACAAATAGATTAACAAATTCTGAAAGCCTTGAATCAGTCTCTAATTACACTTCTCTCCTTCTGTATCCCTTTTCCTACCTCCACAAATATTCAATTCCCCCACTACTAATATTTTACCCCAGCTATAAAAACACCTCCAGCAGAATCTGATCTTCTAATTTTTACCTATTGACATTTTTCTTTTCTCTTTCTTTTTTTCTTTCTTTTTTTGGATCCGGGCATTGAACTCAGGCCCTTGCACTTGCCAGGGAAGCACTTATTCCACTAGGCCATCTCTCCGGCCCCATGACATTTTTCTTATCTCTTTCCCCTCTTACTAACTTACCAGTTTCCTTTCTTTTTATTTCTTTTTTTTTGGGGGGGGGATTATACAAAGTTTATAAGTAACTCTGCAGACAAACATACATGGTAAATAGCAAGCATGTGTAATAACATCAGTCATAGTTACATAATTCCCACATAAGTTGTGACCTGTAGGTGCACTGCTGTCTGGGTAGAAGTTAGTTCCCCTCATAACAGTGTTCCACTCCCAACATCCACACATTTCCAGACTTGATCAGGTGAAACAGCAGTCACACTAAACAAGCTTACTGGTGACTACACCAGAAACACCATCCTAGTGTTCCCAGTTGTAGTGAGGACCAGCGCCACCTACAGGCTTCCTAAAACATGTTGCCAGGCCTCATACCTGGAGTTTCTGATTTCTTAGGTCTGGGTTAAGACCCAAGAATCTGCATTTCTTGCAGGTTCACAAATGATGGTGATGATCCAGGGATCAAACTTCAAGAACCACTGTATGTCATGCACTGAGGTGACAACCATAGCTCAAGTACTTAGATGTAACTTGTAACTGAAATGGATGCAGTACCCAGTCTTCGAAACCAACTGTTGGTGTTACTGTTGTCATCTAACCCTCATCAATGACCTGTCCTAATTTTGCCTTGTATATAAACAATAAAAACTAAGTCATTTATATTTTAATTTGAATACTGCATCCAGGACCAGCCAAATAGCTCAGCAGATTAAAGCACCTGCAAGCAGGCACAGAGGCTGGGGGTTTGATCCCCAGGCCTGCCTTGTCAGCACGGCCCTTGGGTGTGCTGAGACAGCAATTGAGACTGGGAGTGGTGGCATGTGCCTGTAATCCCAGCTCTTCAGAGGTTGTAACAGATGAATCACTACAAGTCCGATCTAGTGGTAAGACCCTGAACACCATGTAGACCCTTCCTTAAAATAAAATTAAAAAAAGAATACTGCATCCAATATATTTTTATTTTCATAAAAATATATTTTTTGAAAGATTCTGTTGCCCAAATAATGTAATTTTCTCCTTCAAATATCTTGAAAAATACCTTCACAACATGGTACACAGATGCTATGAAAAGAGCAACTAGCATGCAGGAGCCTTAAAAGGCACGGAAGAGGAAGCACTAGAATTAAAAAGGCCTGAAGCTTTGTCTGTCCCAAGAAACAGTGGCGACACAGCTCAGCAGCACAGTGCCTTCCTGGCAAGCACAAGGTCCTGAGTTTCATTCCCAGTACCAAAAAAACAAACAACAACAACAACAAAACAAACAAACAAACAAAAAAACCCCTCACGTGCTGTACTTGACCAGATGCACTTTGTCTCCTGGGTTGTGCATTTTAACAAGCATCTAGGTGATGCTGATCCCGTGATCCTTTATTTTTTTAACAAGATCTCAGAATGATGTCACTTTTAGTATTTCCATATAAAGTTGTCAGTTTTTAATACAGAAAAAGACACAATACTTGAACCCATCAACACTTCACTAAGGTAAAAAAATACAGTAAGAATTTGTAATGAAGCCCAGGCAAATCCATATAGTTAAATAAAAGTGAAAGCCTCTACTGGGAGACAATCTGTCAGAATCTTAAGCAAGTGCCTACTGACAAAGAGCTTTTAAATATTATTATAACTCACATTCTGACTTCCTATATCTTTACTTTTTCTTTTTTCCTTTGCTTCAAACTTTATTCCTAAAACAGAGAGGAAAGCTTTCCTTACTGGACTTAGAACTGCATCGAGCTAAAAATGTTTCTTAAGAAACAGATTGGGAAACTATTTAAACTCAGATACTTTTGTAGGTAACTATATTAATAAACCTTTATGCTGCTTTACATCAATTTTAAAGGGAATAAAAGAAGGGGTAAAAACAGTATTTATTAGTGGTTAATGTACTGCTGCAATGGCCAAGAGACTCAGCTGCATCGATGGTACACTTAAGAACATTCCATACTCCTGGATGGTCAGAGCAAGGCAGCTTATGAAACAATGAAACAAACAAACAACAACAACAAAAGAAGGCATCAAAAACTAGTTTTGAGAAAAAAGATGAAAGGATTATTCCTTTCAATTTCCTATGACACTCCAGAAAATAAAAAAGTAAACATGACAAAACAAATTTTAAGGTTCATGATTGATATGGCCACATCTGTGCATGCTGTTGTAACCAATAATTTTTTTTCTTCTTACAACACAGTGACTGTACCCAATCCTATTAAACTGAAAAGGGTGAGGTGGCAGACAATACTTCTTGGCAAATAAAGGTTCTATCACTGGAAAGCAGAGCATAAGGAGATCTTAACCAACAAAAGTCTCTTCACTCTAACCTCAACCCTCTGCACAAAAAGGGATGAGGACATATAAAAACAAGGTAAGAAACTACCTCTAAAGACTCCCAGTTCTCCCAAAACAGATCAAAGGGGCCTAACAGAGAGGGAATCAAAAACCAAAATTCTGAGCTCTATGAAATGATTAAAGAGAAAGGAAAGAAACTTAGTGACCTCAAAGATGACATAACCAAATATAAATAGTGGAAGTAATAAACAAATTGACCAATGGAGTTACAGATGAATCAAATAAAAAATGAGAAGAGTTGAGCAAAGCCATTCAAAATACCAATGACAAACTTAGCAAAGAAACAGACTCCATTGAAAGGTGCCAAAGACAATCCTGCTCATTCATATATATATTACAAAATTACCTTTCAAAATTGATGGAGAAATAACATTTCATGACAAAGAATACCTTAAAAAATTTATGACCACTCAACCAGCACTCAGAAAGGCTCAAGGCTATTGTATATATAGAAAGAAAATGAAGCCAACAAAGCCAAAAATTCTGATGGAACAAATATATCAAGTAAGGTGAGCAATTAAATAAAAAGGAGAAAATAAGAGTCTATTGGTTTAATAATAACACTTAATTATTGCAGGCTAATCAGGTCCTCAATCTCCCAAAAGAATGTACAGCAAAAGCTAAATAAATGAGGCAAATAGAATGGTTTCATGGCTCCAGGAAGATTAAAGACCTCTCACAGAATTCAAGATACTCTCAGGGGTAAGACCAAGACTTTCTCTGGGTGGCCCATATTTATTTTGTTATCAGAAGAAGGGAAAGGAATACTCAAGAAGGGTGGAACCACTAAAGGACTTCTCCAAGTAAGGTATTAAGTTAATCTACCCATAAGTGAAATGGCTGAGGCTATAGTCTTTATCTGGTTAAGGTTGGAGCCAGGTGTCCTTGGCTGTGATCCTGACTTATCCTTTGAGGCTTTCTGGCTTCATCTGCCATTACAGGTCTCAGTGACTCAGAGGTTCACTTACTATGAGCCCACTGCCCATCTCCAAACAAGGAGACTAGGCTTTGAACAGACTCACAAGTAAACATGGAAAGCCAGTTGGTTAATGTAAGCCCTGCTCAGAGCTGCTACATAGTGTTCTCCATGAGGAGTCAATAGCAGAAAAATAATATAATGAAAGGAATAAGTCCATATCTTTCAGTAATAATTCTCAGTGTAAATGGCCTCAACTCCCTAAATAAGAGACACAGATTGGAAATTCAAAGGATGGAAAACAATATTCCATGCACCAGGATCTCAAAAACAAGGAAAGGAAGCAATCTTATTCTTAGACAAAATGGATTTCAAGCTAAAACAGAAGAGGCAAAGAAGATCATTATAACTAATAAGTTGAGGGAACAATGCAAAAAGAAACAACTGAGGGGGCCAGGGAGATGGCTCACTGGAATAAGCGCTTCACCAGCAAGCGCAAGGGCCTGAGTTCAATCCCCAGTTCTGAAAAAAAAAAAAAAAAGAAAAAAAGAAAGAAACAACTGTAAATATGCATTGAATACTGATATGCCCAACTTCATAAAACAACACTATAGGGCATAAAAGATTAAAAAACACCAACACAGTCATAGCGGGGGACATTAATATCCAACTACTAAAAATAGATCAACTAAACAAATAATTAACAAAGAAATATCAGCGTTAAACCTATAAATGGATTTAACACATAGCTATAGCTATAGAGTTTTGAACCCTACCACCACAGGATATATACCTCACTAGCACAAAGAACTTTCTTTAAAGTAGACTACATAACAGTCTGTACATCTTCCTTTTTATAAATATGAAAAAATCAAAATTATCCCATCTATGATATCAAATCATGGTACACTGAAACTGGAAATCAATTGCAAAAGAAACCATAGAAATTTTACAAACATATGGATATTAAATCAATATAGCCCCAAACACTCATGGGTCACACAAGAAATCAAAGAAATTACTAGAATCAAACAGTAATTCCAGTACAGCGCATACCAGAATCCAAGGGACAGAATGAATTCAGCTGTAGGATGAAGCTTATTTTTGTGAAAGCTCACATTAAAAAAAAGCTAAGCTGAAAAAATATTAAAAATAATAAGTCTGGGTTTGAACTGTTCTTGTTTTTCTAGAAAAACAAGAACAGTTCAAACCCAGACTTATTATAAGGGAAAAATTCATAAAGATCACAGTAAAAACTAATGAAATTGAGACTAAAAAAAACAAATAGAAAGAATCAAAGAACCAAAGAGCTAGGTCATTGAAAGAATAAACTAAACAGACCACTTCCTAGCCAAACTTACCCAATAAAGGTAAAGGAAAGACCCACTACAATGCAGTTAGAAATGAGAAAGTGAAGTCAAAAGAGACACTGCTAAAGTCTAGAAAATTAGACACTGTTATGAAAAAACTGTACTCTAACAAAGTAGAGAATCTAGAAGAAACAGATAGATTCCTAGACTCATATGATTACCAGAACTGAAGCAGGGAGGTATAAAAACCCTGAGTAATCTAATAGTAGGCAATAAAACTGAGGCAGTAATAAAAAGCATACCAACTATGAAAAACCCAGGATCTGATAGATTTCCAACTGAATTCTGCATGAACTTCAGAGAGGATATAATGCCAGTATTCCTCAAACTCTTTAAAGAAATTGAAGGGAAGGATTATATCCAAACTCAATCCTGGAAGTTACAATACCTTAGTTTCTAAACCAGACTAGAATCCAACTACAAAAGAAAACTGTATGCCCATCTCTTTAAAGAACTTCCCAATGCTAAAATCCTCAACAAGACATTGTCAAATACAATTTAACAAATCATCAGAAAGATTATACATCATGGAAACATAGGCTTTATGCTGGGGTGCAAGGATGGTTTTACATATGCAAACCAATACATTAATACATCACACAAATAGAAGCAAAGATAAAAATGATTATCTTACTACACACAGAAAAAACCTTTGACAAAAATCCAACATCCATTCATGATAAAAATTCTAAAAAAAATACTGCAGATATAGAAGTTCTTTACCTCCTTCTTTAGTTTCTAAAGACAAACCTACAGTTAGTATCATATTAAAATCATTTAGGACAAACCTACAGTTAGTATCATATTAAAAGGGGAAAAGCTGAAACACTGACCCCTAAACTCAGGAATAAAGATTTCCATTATTGCAATTTCTGTTCCATGCAGTACTCAAAACATTTACCAGAAGAACTATGCAAAGGAAAGGATAAAAATCAACACAAAAAATCAAATGCATTCCTGTACATCAATAAAGAATCCCCTGAGAAGCAAATTAGGAAAACAATACTATTCAGAACTATAGTACTGTGAAAAAGCAGATTGAAGAGGCTATCAGAAAATGTGAAGGCATTCCCTGTTCTCAAGCAGCCAGAATCAGGATTGTTAATACAGATGAAAGCTGATACATAGATTTAATGCAATTCTAATTAATACACCAACAGCATTTGACATAAGGCATAAGAGTCTGATTTCAAGGGACACTACAATGATACAGTGATAAAAATAGCATGGTACTGGCACAAAAGCTGACGTGTGGATCAATGGAACAAACGATGAGGAAGCAAACCCAGGCATATTAAAAGTCATCTGATCATTGACAAAGTGGCTAAAAATGTAGGCTGAAGCAAAAAACACAGCCTCTTTAACAAATGGTGATGGGAAAACTGGTTACACATATATAAAAGATTGAATTGAGAGGCATATCTATCTTTACACCAAAATAAAATAAAAATGGATGAAATAGTTATTAAAACAGAAACAGTTTTAGATATACTAGCTAAATACTGGAAGACATAGGCACAGGGAAGAACCTTCTAAATAGAACTCCAATTGTAGAAGAAATAATATCAAGAATCAACAAATGGCATTACATTAAATTAAAATGGTTTTGCACAGATACAGTGAAAAGAGATAACCTAAAAAAATGCGAATTTTTTTTTTCTCTGACAGAGGACTAATAACTAGAATGTCACAAAGAACAAAAAAAGTCAGATCCTTCAAAGACCCAAACAAAATATGGCAACACCAAAATAAGGTACATTTCTCAGAAGTATAGGTGGACAATAAATAAATGAAAAAATGTTCAATATCTGTGGCTACCAGAGAAATGAAAATTTAAACAACACCAACATTTCATCTCCAATGAGGGCTTGACATCAAGAAAACAATAATAAATGCTACCAAGGCTGTAGGGAGAAAGGAACCCTCCTACATTGTTGATGAGAATATAAACTTAAGGAAATCAGTATGAAGAATCATCAAGAAGACTAAAATAGAAATTCCATTTAATTCCACTATTTCCTTTCTTGCTATCTTCCCGAGAGTTAAAACAAATCATATTATAGTAATACATGCGTATCCATGTTTATAGTATATAACATAATACTAACTCTTGGAAGCAGCCTATATATAGTTACAAAACAGATACAGAAAACATGGTAGTTATAGCTGAGGAACTATTATTCTGACATAAAGAATAAATTGGAGACATTTGTTTGAAAAAGAATACTACTTAAGATCAGAATGTTAAATGAAATAAAACAGACATTAAGGTTTAACTGTTATATAATCTCACTTATATAAGAGAACCAAAGCATAATTTCAAAACACAAAATCAAAGATAATAAGAAATAAGGAGGTAGACAACTTGCACATGGGCAATAAAAGCAATCTGGAGATGGTGAGGAGGTAAGGGAATAGAAGGGAAGTAAGATATGTTAAGAACATGCACCTACTCCTAAAATGAAAGTAACCACTATATACTGCAAACATGTACTAACAAAAGATTTATATGATTAGGAAAATATATAAAGTATAAGACTTTACATAATTTACATAACCAAAGATATCTATATCTGTACTTATATCTATATCTATTCTATGTGGAAAAGGTTTCATAGTGATAAAATCTTAGGAGGGATTTTTCTCAAATCCTGTATTTTCTGATCTTTGGATTTTGTATGTGCCCATACGTAATAATGAATACTTACTGGCTGACAGCTACATAT